AGTTGTCGCACAGAATTTCGATAACATTGTGGACATCAGTGTCTTGTCTTCACTTAACAACAGATCCTTTAAATCGATTCCAAACTCTTGTAGTATTTGATGGCATTCCTCCACTTTATCGGCAAATATCTTGATTGGCATCAAAGCCTTAGCCATCGCTGGCCACTGACCGCCCAAACCGGGGAACAGTAGCCAAAGGGGTCTCACTTTCTTGTCTTTCATAACTCCCATCTGTTTCTTATACTCGTATTGAATCTCATTGTTATTTTCCGACACTTTCTTTATTATCATTGAACCTATAATTAATAAAAAGTAATAAAACCATTTTAATAGACTCCAGTCTCACAAACCACAAAACAATCTAAAAATCTAATTAATAACTTCAAATATTATTTACAGTTTTAAAATAACTAAATTTTATAGTTAAATACCCCTGTATATCATTCCGGCTGAATCCAGATTTGGTGTGTATTTCATGGTATGACCCAAAAGTGCCAAAAAATCATTTGTGACTTTCTTGGGATTGTTTTCAATGAAATGCATGATATGTTCGACTGATTTGACTGACAATGTGTTCATTTGGGTCGTATGGTCCGGGTGTGGGTACTGGTGATAGCCATCGCATTTGGCATAGTTTATAATACCACAATACACGCCCGTCCTACTGCCTCGCAGATTCTGTGGACTTATACCTTGTTGTCAAAATGTTTTAAGTAAAATAACTAATTGTTTTATCATTTATCATGTTTTATAACTGTTAAATTATTCAAATGTATCAATTAAGAGATTGTTCAGGGATGTAAATGTTTTATTTCTTATTAAATTAAATTTAATATATTTCAACACATTTCTAAAAATGTATTGATTTCTGTATAAAGAAATGAGTATAAATAGCTATTAAACTATGGAAATTTTTTTATAGATATTTATACTGTTTTATTTTTATGTGCAGTTTGTTAGAGTTTGAATGTAATTGTATTAACATTAATGAATGCTTTCAAATTATTTTGTATCATAATAAAATAATATTCATTATGCTAATTATCAGAAATTATGATGAAATCTAAATTATATAAAGTGTAGCTTATTATAAAATCATTTACATGTTGCAATAATGAGTTATTTGATTATTATTCAAATACAGATATTTTTCTTTGTGAGTCTACACGTGTTTAAAACTTTTAAATTAAGTTATTATATAATATAATAACTTGGAAATAATTCCACGAATTTTAATTATTTAGCATATAGCATATTTAAACATATTTTGACACTTTGGTAAAACCGGTAATAATCATATGGACTGCAAAATATATCAATATTTATAAAAATAAAATAACCCTCGTGATTATGTGATGTAATAATTAGTTGAAGCATAGAAAAAATGTCTAGATTTTACAAATTTAATCAAAACACCACAATCTGTTAAATAAAATTTTATTTTGTTATATTATTTAGAAAAGTAATTATATTTTGAGAATATACTGATAATATTACAAAACTACTAAAAATAACATGAAGTAAACTTATATTTGCTTAATTATTCTAAACTTTAATCTTGATTATAGATTTGATTATAAACTAGGTTTGCAGGCAATGCTATAGAAACCCACATTTACAGTTAAGCTAATATAGAATCAATTATAATGTAATAAATTATAGGTATTTCTCAATATTTTATTAAATTTACTTGTTGTGGAACTGTATATCCGTCCCATAGGCTTAGCATTGGGATATTTAGCACATTAAGGTTATTTTAAAATTTTCAAACCATTGTTGTGGAACCGTATATCAATTCCATAGTGCAATTTGGTCGTACTTTTTCGACCACATGTCCCTCAATGTCCATTTTCTTCGTAACGCTATGGGATTTTTTTGTTCCGCAACCGACATTTTTTGACACACCCGTCATGCACCACCATTATACCCCATTTTCCCATAGGTTTAACATGGGCCTAAAAAACAGCGTCATTACGTCATCGGAAACACTTGCCTACTTTTGCTGGGATTTTCCATAGGAAAAACAAAGCCCTTAACGGCAAAACTGTCAAAAACTTCCATGTTAAGTCTATGGGATTGTGCTAAAGTGCGTCATTAGTGTCATTAATGACGGAGTGGGAGGGAGGTGGGGGTAGGGGGTAGTACAGAGTGATTTGATAACCCACTCTTTTACTACGTAAATGTGGGTAAAAATTATATGGATTATGGTAGGCTAGCAGTTGTATGGCCCCTATCGACCAACATATTAATGCCGATTATAAACGCTGATTCCGGTGCCGCCAAAAATAGCACAGCGTATGCTAAGTAGTCTGACACGGCCACCCTTTGTGCCGGCATTTTTGAACCCAATTCAACAAACTGGTTGTTGGGGATGTTGTTTGGATCCCAAGTGTAAGGACCGATTGGACCCGTACTTAAGATTGGGTTATAAAAAGTATCCATGGGAGTGAGTGAGTGAGTGAGTGAGTGAGAGAGAGAGAGAGAGAGAGATGCAAACCACAACATACTTAACACTATTAACTCGTATGTCTGAGTCTCAACTCAGTGGCCATACATTTGGTGAACATATGTATAAATCATTGACAGACAGGCGTTAGAGCTTAACTGTTTAGTCAACTTATTAGTAATATTAGTTATATTTCATATAAACTTATGGAGAATAGCCAATGAATCAATTTTTATTTAAAAACATTAACACCTGTCTGTCAATGATTTATACATAATATGTAATAACTTAATAGTAATAAATATTTTATAAACTTGATAGTGTACTAATTTTATATTAATGAATTTATAGGATTTCATGCATTTTAAAATTTATTACTCATATATTTATGACTGTTTATCATTAAAAAATAACTAGTGTTGAAAATACTCATTTACTTTCTGTAGTCAATACACACTACACTAGTTGTAATAATTTGTAATACGTGGAACTGGCTGATCTGTACTGTATCTATTAAGTTTATGATTAGATTATTTGTCTGATAGGTTAGGGTAGGGTTGGGAAAGGGATCAGATTATGAATGTGGTCATCAAAAAATGAATCAACCAGTTTTGCTGGGCTAGTATTTATTATTTATTAAAATAAAATAATCCACGTACTTATGTGATGTAATAACTAGTTTCAGTATAGTTAACAATTGCCTAAACTTTACAAATGAAATCAAAACAACGAATTTCACAATAAAATATAAAATATTATTTTATTAGAACAAAAATATTTTGAGAATACACTCATAATATTGAATTACAAATCTACTGATAATAACATGAATTAAACTTATATTTGTTTAATTATTGTAGACATTAATCTTGATTATATATTAAACTATAGAAGTTATAGCTTATGGTAGACCAGCAGCTGAATAGCCCCCGTCGACCAACATATTAGTGCCCGTTATAAACGATGCCTCCTTTGCCGCCAGAAATAGCACAGCGAATGCCAAGTCGTCCGATACGGCCAACCTTTGCGCCGGTATTTTGGCACTCAATTCGAGTGAGCGATTGTTAGGGGTGTTTGGATCCCAAGGGTACGGACCGATTGGACCCGTACTATAATAAATAGGTTATAAACATATAAACATTGGAGGGAATGTGTGTGTGTGTGTGTGCAAAACACAACTTACTTAACACTATTAACTCGTATGCCTTTGGGTCCCAACTCAGTGGCCATACATTTGGTGAACATATCAAACCCCGATCTCGCCATACAATAAGCCGACTCTTGAGGACTCTATTCATAAAATAAATATTAATTGAAGCATGGTCATTATAGGTCAATATTACATCTATTATACCGGTCGAGTGCTTCTAATGCTGGACATGTTGATTATAGTGCCCCGGGTCTTCTCCAGGTGCTCCACACAAATGCTGGTCATAAGTACCATGGCCTCGAGGTTTGTTTGCATAACACTCTTGTATTTAGCCATAAATAATGGGTCATTAATGGGGTTGTGCTCGGGATAGACGGGACAGTTGACTAAAATGTCGATTCGACCGAAAGTGCGA